AAAAGTGAAAAATGAACAATATGTGCTTTCTATTTATATATAAAAACCAATTTATTTTTCAAGTTATACCTTTTATTTAAAAGCTGTAAATATGCTCTGGGAATCTAAACCAGAAACCATTACTGGTACTGTATGCAGGTTTCAAACATGCACACTTTTTTTAATATTGTATAAATTCTAAATATCAAATTGAGGTGAATTGTTGACCCAATGCCAATGAATTTGAATGTTGACAAATGCCGTAATATGATGTCCAGTGCCCTAATATGATGACCTGTGCTTATAAATTGGTTGAAAAAAAAATAGCAACTACCCCTTAGTCACTCAAGAAATAAATATATATTCACCATGTTGGATAAATTTGAATTATAATCCTTGTTCAAATTCATCCAACATGGTGGATATGATAATTTGAATACTAAATATTACTTGTTCACCACAACAATCTGAATAATTTTTTTGATAGCGCAAATATATTCGAGAAATTACCATACAGAGAGCCCGCAAACAAAAGGAGTTTTGGCAAGGCCTCTATGCATGGAAAACAACCAAGTGGCCAAATGGCATTCCTCAAGAAGACTGGCTTGATATAAGAAGAGATGACTTAGCAAGCTACCAAGAAGAAGAATGATTAATACTATTAATTAGGGTGGACCTTTGGGAGTCTTGAGAGTAGGGCAACGTTTTATATAGAAAACACAAAAAAGATAAAACATTCAAAACAAAAAGTTCTTTTCTCTGAATTATTAGCTGCATGAATTGTTTTCCCACATGTCATGATTTCTCTTTTTATGTTTTTTGGGGAAATTGTCACACACACCCCGCCCAAGATTTCTAATGGTCTGCCTTAACCACCTGTGCTATTAAAGGGGAAGTCAAGTCCGTTCTGCGCATCGGTTCTGCTCATAACAATGAGAGGACCTCTAATGTGAACATTGCCCAAATTTCGAATGTTTCGAATTTTTCTGAACATAAACTCTATTTCATATTCATTTAGAAGCATAGCGAACCAAAATGGTGTTAGATATTCGATTGATGTCCAATACCCACGATCGGAGTCCGATGGAGAAATCCATCATACATGTGCTACCGATTGATCCGATGGACAAAAATGTCTACCGTCGGAAAAAAGCTTGTCCGATGGAGAAATACACGTAGACAAATAGAGCATAACGTGATATTAATTCATAACATAAATATAAGAACTATTGGAACAGTAAGGCATGACAAATAAGTGGGACCGTTATACTTTTCCAATGTTTTTTTCTCTAAGTGTCCATGTCTTAAACGATGCTATATTAGTGGCAAATGTCAGATGGTCCGATCGATCGGATCCATCGGACAAGGGTGTTTACGGTCGGACAGAAAATTTACCGATGGCGAAATGACGTCATTTGAAAGCTACGTGGTGGAAAAGTAAAGAGGCTGGGCAGTAGGCTCTGGCACGATGCTAGTGGCAAATGTCAGGTGGTCCGATCGATCGATCGGATCCATCGGACAAGCGTGTTTACCGTCGGACAGAAATTTTACCGATGGCGAAATG